TTGTGGACCATCCAGGACACCCAAAATGTATCGGCAGTGCGAATGTTCCCGTTGAACGTCTTGAACTAACTTAACCTCACAATGATTTAGCCATGAATCTTCACTATTTGAAAGAGCGCTAAGCCATGCCCCGAACAGAAAAATATATATATTTTAATGGCCTCAAAATAGCTTGCAGTTGTGTGTTGCAGCCACAAGGTGGCAGCAAAGCGCTACCAATGTCAAAATGAAACTACTCAACTCACTTCAGCATACGTCTTTGACACTATGATGCCACGAGATGAAGCCAGAGCAATAAGTTTGAGCAAATAGACAAAACTGTGGATATGCCGTATTCTTTAAAAAAAATGTAGTTCCGACCAAAAGAATAGAAATATGCGAAAATTGGAACAAAACACTTGCTTGCACCCGCAGCCTGAGCCTACCTTGGTAAGTTTCCGTCGGTCCCTCCATGTCGAGCTCCTTCAGGACCGCCGCTGATGGGGGCAGGATGGTGACGACGGGGGCCACAGCAGGTGGAATCTCATCGGGCCGGAATCCCCGGCGAATCAACTTCAGGTGGACGGCCTGACCCGTGTGGCGGAGGACTTCCACGGCCTGTTGGTTGGTTCTTTGATATTCCCAGGAAAAATGTGCCATGAATTGTTAATTCCTCAAAATTATGCAAATCCACAGACTGAATGGATTCATTGCTCCCTATCGATGGCTCACATACTGTAAAACATTTCCCACATAACATATATTGTTAATATTAGTGATAGTAATTCGCGTTGACCTTTTTAAGGGTTGGGGTGGAGGGGCTAAATGATTGCAGCACTCGCAAAAGGTGAATGAGTCACCAGATTGATATTGAAAAACAAAAAAATCATTTAACTCCAAGCAGGGTCCGACATGAAGCCATTTTTGGTGGTACCAAGTTGTGGTAAAAAAAAAAGCGTTACAATGTGGCTCTATGCATTTGCGCCGTCCAATTGAGGCTCATTTGAGCCCCAGAAAATGGCTTCTTCAAACAAAATGACTGTTTACTTCCAGGCAGGTTACTGCATATTTTTCATGACATATACACGTACATCTAATTTCCTGTCAATCAGTGGAAATGTTGTCAGGGGCTACTTGTACACCCACAAACAACAACGTGGGCGAAAAATTAAGATTTGTCACCCTCCTTGTGGGCCCCCAAAAGGCCAGTTATGATTCGGTCGGTTTAACAATAAACACAGCAATTCGAAGAAAGCCTTGGTGCCTGCTCAGGTACTTACAGCCACTATCTGGTCTCCCACGTGAATACGACCGTCTTGATCTACAGCGCTGTCTTTTGTGATGCTCTTGACGAAAATACCGGAGGGCTCTGAGAAAACGAAGGACAGAAATAGTTTTACCCCTCCCATATGGTTTCAACTTATTCCGATAAAATGTCCCAAAAGTACTGTACGGTATTGTTAAGCTACAATTTTCTGCAACGGGTCAGTTTTGGTTCAATCAATACTGCTCACCTGCATTTTTATCCCCGACATAACCGGCAATTGTGATCCCCAGCCCCTGTGTGTTCTTGATGAGGCTCACATCAAACGCGCCTTCTTCTTCTTCTTCTTCTTCTTTCTCCTCGCCCTGTGAAAAGGGTTGGGCAATTTTAGCACAGGGGCGTGGCCGCGCGATACGGACGCCAATGCTGCTCTCCGACGGACGCCGACCTTGTCCGCGGGGTGCGACGCCGGCGTGGACGCGGAGACGGAGGGGTTCTCGTCCACGTGGCCCCGAGTGATGACCAGCTTCACCCGGTTGCCGCACTGCCGCAGCACCTGCGCCACCTGCTCGCTGCCCATCCCGTACAGGTCAGTGTCCCCGATCCTTAAGATGTGGTCGCCGCTTCTCAAGCGGCCGTCCTTCAGGCCCAAGAATGTGTAAAAGATCAATTAGGGAATCACCGTAGACCAGGCACGGGCAAAGTATTTATTTATTTATTCATTCGTTTATTTGTTTATTTATTTTTAGATGAGGAATAAAAAAAAAAAAATCATCCAATACATTTTTTTAAAATTGTGTATGGAAAATATGTGGAAGAGTTAATTTTGATCATAAAATAAATGATTCTAATTTTAGCATTGTAATACAATAATAATGCATTTTTTATTGCAATGAATGAACCACAATTATTTTATAAACTAAAGACATGCTAGGTCTGCATAACCATGTGTTTATTTTACATATGTATCTTTTTTTTTCAATAAACGCACAAACCAATTATCTTCCGAGATGAGTTTATGAAAAATTAATGACAATTGATTAATTTTATGGATTAAAAAATGCTCAAAAAACAAGAGTTACAATTCTCATGTTGAATGTAATTGCATATTTTATGATTTTTGTGCATTTTATTTTTAAAAATAGTTCAGTTAACTGATTACACTGGTCAACAAATTTTTCCGTCGTATGTTAAGCCAGAGTTGCGTGTAGATGTTTCTGGATGACATTTTTTTTGTAACTCTGACCTCATTTTTTGGGTTTGAATAATAATAATTATTTTTTTATTCCAATTGAGGCTCATCTGAGCCCCAGAAAATATCTAACAAAAACAAAATATCTAAGATGGTAATATATCGGGGTTAAGCTCAGCAACAGGTGGATTTTTCTTCTGAAACATCATAGCTATAAATTAAAACGCATGGTAAAATCAGTATTGTGCAAGCTTTTATAGGTTAAACTGAAAAACAAAAAAAAATCTCAAATTTTTCATATACAGAAGACTTGCGATTGTAAATGTAATTCAGCTTTGAATCAAGCGCCATCACCTGGTCGGCGATGCCTCCAGGAAGGATCGTTTTCACAATCACGCCGGTTGTCTTCCCTCCAACGATACCAAAACCCAGGCCGGTACCATCGTTGACCAGCTCGATCGTCTCCACATGCTGCCACTAGATCACAACGGATACTTTCAAAACCAACGTTAGCGCGAAGCAGCTTTGTACATTTCAGTGCTCCTGCCACCTTGAAACCAAATTGGTTAGCGAGTCTCGTGTGCCAGAGGGTGTGTGGGACATGGCGGCACTTACCAGCTGAGGTATGGGTCCCCGGGCCACGATGAGCTGCACCCTCTCAGATGCTCTCTGTAGGATACCGATAGCCTGCTGGTGGGTGACCGTCTGGTCCAGGGGCTGGCCGTTGATGGCCAAAATCTGGTCGGCTTCCTTCAACTTGCCATCGCTGCAGTGGAGGAAAATAAAACTCATGTCGCGGTGTCCTCTATACCAAATGAAACCGGAGTGGGGAACCACTGGCGATATTTGGCTCACAAGAGATGCGTCGTAACAGTTTTTGGGTTTCATGGCCAGTCATCAAACTCGGTCACTACTTCCATTTCATGGCCTAAAAAAGCCTGGCTGCACTTTTTTTGTGGAACCATGCTCCACCCACGTTTGTTTTGCAATCCGGCGTCACATTTCAGTTTTGTCCACGTTGGAGAAAAGTCGGCATTGGAAGAGGACACCCGGAAAAGGCCAAATTGATTCTAAAATGGCCGCCACTTTCCCGGCACGGGTTCTTGAGGCTTTTTTTTGTGGCCCGACCTATGATCAACGTGTCAAAATCAAATTTCATGTTGCTGATGGAAACGATGTCAGAGTGTATCGGTTGTGAAGACTTGACTGCATTCGCATACCTGTGAGCCACACTTCCCGCTTGGATCTCCTGGATGAAGATGCCGAGCTCCCCTCGGTTCTCGCTCTTCAAGCCCACCACGCTGAATCCCAGACCTCCCGACGCTGGCTTCTGCAAGTCCACGTATGCCACGTAGCGGCCCTGCGGCGCATACGTTTTGTCCACATTTCAGCATCCCTATCAAAACTTATGTAGCCACTTTGGCCCGGGTTCATCTTTGTCGAATCGTTTGCAGGACATGGACATTATCCAGAGTCACTTTCCGTAGACTGTTTAGTCTTCGGAAGTCTGCTCGTGTGGCTTGCCTTTGAATTCCATCGAGCATAAACGAAACGGATTTAAATCAAAAGATGGTGCTTTCTACCTGCGCCATTGTCTGAATAATCTGATCCAGTTGATCGCATGTGGGTTTGCTATCGCAGATGTCCGAAGGTGCCACATGGCTGCCGTTGTGTTGCGCTTCTGTGATGCGATCACCCCCGCCCTGTGAGGAACACACACACACACACACACACGCACACGCACACGCACACACACACACACACACACACACACACACACACACACACACATAACTTTGTTGCGTCTCCAATCCAAAGCGATTTAATGCCGCCATCTACTGGCATCCGCTTGACATTACAGTTATGTCAACGCTTGAATTGGACAGACAAGCCGGTCCTCCTTCCCCAGCTGCCAATTGAAAAATAGACTTATTAATCGGTGTGATGTCAGAAAACAGTGCCCGGTTGTGAAATATAAACGTCCACAACACTGAACGAGTTAAACAGCGTGATGGCGTTGCTGTCTGGATGCTTGGCGAGTGCTATGATCTTCCAATCCAGTATTCCGCATCCCGAGGCTCGTTATCCTCTATGATGAGCCGCATCAAAAGCCGCATAATCCTTCAGAAGATTATGGCTGCTTTTCCCACAATGGCTCTAAGACTCCAAATATAATATTTCTATTATCGTCGCGGGCCATCTGGATGACTCAGTGTGCTTCTTTTTAATGACTGCTGTGACAGATGAACTGAAATAATGTTGGCTGTGTATGCCTAGTACATAAAAAAATGTTTATTCCCCAACAAAAGGATCTCATACACATAGCGTTTTTTTTTTCAGTCCTTGGCCTGAAGTGGACATTGGTCTGAATCACTTATTCCATGCTAACAAGTGCTTCATGTAAGCTTCAAAAACATATCTGACGAATGTTCATAAAATACAACATGAATTTCCTTCCTCACAAGAAAATGGTCGCCCACCCTTGTTTAAAGCCATTTGTGTGTCATTTACCCGACTACCAGAGTGCTGCGAGCTACTTGAAAATACCTCACCGGCCTGGCCGACGTTAGCGTAGCATGCTGCTAAAATGCATGCGCTTTGTTGGACGGGCTAACTAAGAGGATTAAAGTTCCAGTCTGGTTCTTGCATATCTAACCAATTGTTTCCGCCCCACTTCACACACAACCAGCGGCCTCTTCTTTTTCTTTTTTTTTTTCTGTTGCCATAGCTACGCGGGCTGACCGAGGCCCGATGGATTGCTTTTCAAGTGTTACTTTGAAGGAATCTAAACAGCGCAGCTCTTTGCTCATCTCATCTGAGAAGCTGGCCCACCCTCTCGCCTCCCACTGCATTGCTCGCATATTTTCATTCGGCTTCCTGCGGCCCCCTTAAAGAACTCTTTTCTTGCTACGATAATGTTCAGCTCTCGATAGCGTCGACGTTGTGACTTGTGTAAGATAAGCATGCGCCACTCAGATCAACAATTGCTCAAGGAGGATAAAGCGTTCTCTTCTTTTCTCTTTGGCCGTGTAATGAAGCATGAAGCAGTGGCGTGGGTGGGGGGTGGGGGGTGATGGGGTTGGTGCCCCCCCCCCCACCTTGTATAAATTGCATATAAAATACTAGTTTGTGGCCAAGAAACACATTGCAGTCTTCTACCTGCTGGCTGGAGCTAGGTCGGCACCCCCCCCCACCCCTCAAAAGTCCCACATCCCAAACGGAGCCTGTCACCTGCTCTTTGAGCTGCTGCACGGACTTTTGCAAGGCCAGGATCTGGTGGAAGAGGGGGCTCTGGAGCACCGACTTGAGCAGGCTGAGCTTCTCCTCGGTGGGCACCTCCCCCCGCTCCTTCAGCTTGGCCTGGAGCCGCTCCACCGCCTGCAAGGCACGCTGTGTGTCTGAGAGCCGCCCGTCGCATATTTCAGTGACGGGCCGGGAGAGAAAGAGGACACAACACGGGCGCATTGCGTTTACTCATTTGGGGGACAGGAATAGCAATTTGCCCTGTTGAAATGATAACATCACAAAAGACAATCGCGGTTCTGAAATTCACTCGGATTTGGAGATGCAATTAATAAATCGACGACGAATTGATTGCACTGGTCAACACTGATTTTGGCATCAAAAAAGATTTTTTAGGTTGCTGAATTGGAAAACGACATTTTTTTCCGCTTTGGCTCAAATTTATTAGGTATTCTATAGTTGTTTTTTTAAACAAAGTAGTAGCAAATTATGATACTGCGCGTCCGTACGGTTTTTCCTTTCATTTTTGGCGCGACAGTGTGAAAGACGGCAGTCGAGAGCAGAGCCTTCTACTGGATCGGCAAATCATGTTTCATGTGAAAATCAAGCAAAAATTCTGAAAATGAGGAAATCCTAGCAGTCAACAAATGCAAAAACGGGCAACGTGAAATCACAAACGCGACTCTTTGTAACGATTAAAGTTCATTTCTTAAATTGTCAATGCATGTTAATTAGCTATCAGTTCGTTGTTAAAAATATCTATCGCTCAAAAATTAGAGCCAATAAAAAAAAAAAGGGATGTCATTTTCGCATTCAGCAGCCCAAAACTACCCAGAAACGATTCAAATATATTTGGCACTCAATTTTTTGGGGGTCAATGTTATCAAATTAATCTCTAAATACTTTGTAACTTGATGAGTCGTTTAGAGACCTTGTTTATTTAAAATTGTCCAGATTTTTTGGCTTTCAGCTGCTCAAAAGTAAATCTGCTCTCGTCATCCACGAAACCAGACTAATTATCATTGTGTTGAATCAAATTGTGATCAAAACATGTTTTATCAACATTTTTCTCGATTTTTACAGATCAGTTGCTGAATCATCAATTTTACAGTATTTTCTGCACTTAGATTTTGAAATAATGCCCTCAGCTTGAATATAGGGGGAGAAAAAACTTCTAAACTTTTTTTTTTTTTTTTTGCCAATTCATCGATGAATCTCCAAAATAATCAACAGCTTGTTAAAACTTAGTTGCTACCTTACTTGTAAGAAAACTTCTTGCTTGCAACATTAGGCAGAAAAAAAAAGATCAAGCCATTCATGCAGTTGTTGGCTCGAGTCACTATTCAGGTTTTCAGTCACTCTTCTTGCCGTCAGTTTTATAGATACGGATGAGCCCTGTTTACAAAATGGACCTCGGCTGGAGTCCCTATTCAGTCCCTGTTGGCCACTCGTGTGTTTTTCTTTTCAACATGAGGAAAAACAACAACGTTTCCAATGCTATTGTACCCATTGGCAAAATGGTGGAGGAAATGAAACAAATCTTGTGTGTGTCTGCCAGAGCCGGCGAAAGCGCCTCATTGGCAACGCTCCACTGTCATGTGGACAGAAAATGAAGCAATTTCCCGCGCTCGCCCACTGTGACCGTCACCTAAAGGGGCATGCGCGGGGTCTCAAGTGAGGATTTGTTGTTGTTTGAACAAAGGCTGTCGACAGCACCCCGGCGTCAGCATGTTTATCCTCTCTTCGGGAACCAGACAGGTAATCCTATTCGAAACACATCCAATTGGCCGCGCTCGAGTGGGCGGACAAAAGGTTCGAGTGAGAAGGACGGCAGTCGTGCGACCGCATTGTGTTCATGCTGACGTTAACGTTTGACAAATGGAAGTCAACGCTTAACGGTTAGGATCATCATTTTGCCGCGCAATGACTCCATGGAGTGCATTAGGCTTCCATTAAGAACAATATCGACTCACCCATTGTTTCAATCATTTTAACAGCTCCGGCCGGGCGGGATTTCTGCCCATTAAAAGCAATTTCACACTCGATCCGCTCGTCAAGGCCTGCAAAGCAAAACGGAACGTTAGCGGCGACAATGGAAGAAGTTTTTGGTCGAGGGCGCGACATAGGCATTGGGAGGTGGAACTCTTCATTGGGTCATTAACTGGAAGAGACATTGAGGAGTCACTGATGACTCTATTCTGTCTATATGTGAGCAGTAGCAAAGCCCAGAGTCGCCGTTCATACAGTTGTTGGTTGGTCCTCGTTCGTGTAACACATTGACTGGAGTCTCTGATTGTGCAATTGTCCGCTTTATTGCCCTTTTCCTGTGTATGAAACAGACATCGGCTGGAGTGCCTGTAACTACAGTCGTTGGCCAGCTCTATCCCTCTTTTCACAGTACTGTATACGGCACACAATTACATCAGACCCGTCCCCAGACTTCAGACTTAAAGGGTGTGGGGGATGGGCAATTATTATTAATACCCTACAGCAGGGGTGTCAAACACATTTTAGTCAGAAGCCACGTTTTAGTTACCGTTTCCCTTGAGAGGCTGTTATGACTGAACCCATATAAAGAAGTCAAGGGTAACCGTTCATTCAACTGTCCTTTAAAGTCACTGGAATGAGGGGTTTGGCAACAAAGAAAATGCTTCCAATTTCGCTCGTATTTATTATGTATAAGAATATGAATTTTGGTACAGATTTTAGCAAGCATCATGAAAGTTGACATGTTTGATTTGCTTTCGCAGGCCACATAAAATGATGTGGGAGGTCAGATCTGGCTCCCGGGCCTTGAGTTTGACACCTGTGTTTTAGTGGATGAATTTAAGTGCATCCGTTAAGATGTAAATTTTTATTTAGTTGACTCTTTTAGAGTGTAGATGTTTCATTGTAGATTTCAGAGTACTCTACAAGTTTTAGTTCCGAGCCATTGCTTTTGATTGGATTACGTCATTGTAACTCGATTATACGAACATTGTTTGCTGATGTAATCGGTAATATCGTGGCCGTGTGCAATATGCGCTGGCATAACGGCCAACATGGTTCAACGGGAGTCTTCAGCAGAAATTAAAAAAAAAGAAAAAAAGGAAAACAAATTTCATCTTCATTTTAGATGTCCACAGGGTTTGTGGCTCCCTTGGTTTCTTTTATGAAACAGATTCAAATGGCCAAAAGTTGCCAACACGAATGTAATAAGTCCATTCTCACTTGTACCAGAGGCAGACTAAACCGATAATGTACGAACGCGAAACGTTGCCTAACATCCGAAAACTGTGATCAGTCTTCAACAATATATGTGTCTACCGATGCGCACATGACCCCGTCTGATAAGATTACATAGTCCCGGTTTTATGGGTTTAGCCTTTTCTTCTCCATACACTACTGATGCTTACTATAGGTCTCTTAATCAGGAAAACAATTTGTACATAAATTACAAAATATTGTGGTGATTGTCGTGACCTTTTTTGAGGTTGATGTGAGCATACGTAGAAATGTCCACATACATTTTGGTGACATTAAGTGACGTACGCTATTTTTTTCTCACGCTTATGTTGAGTTATACGGTGTCCCGTGTGCCAATCTACCAGTGTCCTCGGTTCACGTTATTTACAAATACATACATATTTTTAAAGCCATATGATGCCACATTACACAATGCCACGCAATAAAAAAATTTAAGATTCACTTTGAAAAACTCGTTCACGCTAACATTGAAGCATCGATTCCCGCATAGGCCTGTACACCAAACATAATTTTCAAGCAGAATGTGGTAGGCTGTTGTTGGCCATCAATCAAAACATTTTTCCCCTTTATATTCTTAATGTCGAATTGATAAATCACTCAACATTATTTTAAAACCGCTCCTAGGATGGGGGTGAAAAAAGGTTTCTTTTTGTAGACCTGTGCCACAAGTGGGGTGAGAATGACCCCGTACGGCCCACCCGTGGGGTATGAATCACAGGAATGATGTCAATGTATTATCCAGTATGCCATATACTGTAATATGCGGCGCTGTACTTTTCTCCATGTTGTTTCACACGATTTGTTTAATGGGAATAATGACGTGAAACAAACACTGATGACACGTGAGTATGACAACCTAACAATGATCCATCGAGGACCGTTTACTCATTAGCTCGCTGCAGGCACTGGAGTGAAGTCCGAAAGACGACGTTTGGTACTTTTCTTCTTGTTTTCTAAATAAACGGTGACGGACGCGGCCGTGTGTGCGACAATCAACGTTTACTCAGCTCCAATGTTGCAGAGTAAGCGAAGACAATCCGCTTTTCTCGACTCCTCCTCCTTTTCCCTCCTCCTCCTCCCCCGGGCCAGAGTCTCATCCGATCCGTGGCGAGAAAAGCAACAGGCTGCCGTGTAAACAAAACTCGGGACTAACTTTGATTGCATTACCGCTACAGAGCTATGAAACCGAGCAAAAACACTTGACACAATCAGAGTAAAAGCGCACTTGAAACTCAATTCGTCGTGTTGTCGGATCAACTCTCGGCGTCGTCAGAGCGAAAGCCGCATTCGGAAATGCGTATTTTGGAGATAAACCACCACATATCTACTTACATGGATATTCGCTTCCCCGCGGACGGTCTCCGACGCGAGCACGTATAGTCCCTCGGCTAACGGCTCACTGACCCGGGTTTAATAAACAAAGGGGGCGTAGCGTAACCCGATCCTGCTGCGGTCGCTTAGCGAAGAGAGAGACACGCTCCGGCAGGGGCGGAGGGCTGAGTCTCTGGGGTTAAGGCTCCCCCTGGTGGCGGCGTTTGCTCCCTGCAAAGCCTGCCGTGATGCGCCTTGACTTCCGACTTTGATTCGTTTCGTGGCTGCGCTCGGAACTCAAAAATACTCGTTTCTCAAACCATCTTCTCAGAATTCCTCTTAGAAATGAATGGAATTGCCATGACTCTATTCATTCTATTGGCCACCCCCGCAAAACAACCATTTTTTATATTTGTGTATTTGAATGAAGAAAGATAAAACACACACCAATGACATGATCCAACAGAATTTAAAGCAGATGCAATTAAATGATATACAGTGTTTCGAGTCATGGCCACCTACAGGAAGTATGACATAGACAGGCGGATAAATGTATTTTTCCCCAATATTGTCTTTTTCCTTTTCATTACATTTTTTTAATCATATTTTGTCGAATATTTTAATAATTTGATCCATTTTTTGTTCAATATTTTTGTAATATTTTGCACATTATTGCTTTATGTGTTTAAAATCCAACTTAAATATGTGCTGGTGTGATTCTAATTATGCTTATGAAAAGATTCCTGTCATGATGTGGAGAAGAAATGGAAACAACAAATTCGTTCTGTAATAAAGCAAAAACTTGCATTTCCATGCCATTAAAACCCCCAAATCCAAATGTCACACAACCACAACCAAATTGTCACCGCCGTCAATTTTGAAGGCAATTTGCGACGCCTTCGATAATGGCTTACTTAGTATCACCGATATCAGCGAAACGACATCCGTCTTTTGCACCCGAATGACTTATTCCTCGCGATCTCCTCTCTGGGAGGACAACTAGCAGTTAAGTGCATGAAGTCATATGATGCAATAAAGACGTGCCCCCGAGGTTTGCGAGCTCAATATGTCTACGCCGATGATTGAATTAAAGTGGCGACGCCGGCACGGTCGTCCGCCTGGTCTTTTGATTCATCGCCAACGAATCAGTCAATATTCACAAAAGGCTGACATGTAATAAAAGCCCTGCAACGGCATTAGATCACTATCACGGATGCGCTGACATAATGGCCAACGTGGTTCAACGGAAGTCTGCATCAGAAATTAAAAAAAAGAAAAAAATGAAAACAAAATTCATCTTCATTTTAGATGTCCACAGGGTTTGTGGCTCCCTTGGTTTCTTTTATGAAACAGATTCAAATGGCCAAAAGTTGCCAACCCCAATATAATAAGTCCATTCTCACTTGTACCAGGGGCAGACTAAACCGATAATGTACGAACGCGAAACGTTGCCTCACATCCGAAAACTGTGATAAGTCTTCAACAAAATGTGTGTGTCTACTGATGCGCACATGACCCCGTCTGAGAAGATTACATATTCCCGGTTTTATGGGTTTAGCCTTTTCCTTCTCCAGACACTACTGAAGCTTACTATATGTCTCTTAATCAGGAAAACACTTTGTACATAAATTACAAAATATTGGGGTGATTGTCGTGACCTTTTTTGAGGTTGATGTGGGCATACGTAGAAATGTCCACATACATTTTGGTGACATTAAGTGACGTACGCTATTTTTTCCTCACGCTTATATTGAGTTATACGGTGTGACATTGTGCCAATCTAGCAGTGTCCTCAGTTCACGTTATTTACAAATACATACATATTTTTAAAGCCATATGATGCCACATTGCACAACGTCACACAATAAAAAAACTTAAAGATTCACTTTGTAAAACTATTTCACACTAACATTGAAGCATCCATTCCCGCATAGGCCTGTACACCAAACATCATTTTCAGGCAGGCTGTGGTAGGCTGTTGTTGGCCATCAGTCAAAACATTTTTTCCCCTTTATATTCTTAATGTCGAATTGATAATGGACAAAGGTGCTGGAAAGACATGCTTATAAAAACAACACTGTATCTCAGGAAATATTGTATGACAACTATATATATATATATATATATGATAAATCGCTCAACATTATTTTTAAAACCGCTACTAGGATGGGGGGGGGGCGGTTCCTTTTTGTAGACCTGTGCCACAAGTGGGGTGGGAATGACCCCGTGGGGTCTGAATCACAGGAATGATGTCAATGTATTATCCAGTAGTATATGTACATGTATATGTGTGTGTGAACAATGCAGCTGGTGCAATTGAGCAGTGCAGAGAAGCCGTGAATGGCGCGTATCCCATGTTTGCTGCTAGGTGGCGCACGAGTATACGGCGAGAGCGGCAATCCACATTCACAGTGTGTTTCTTCCCTCCCACTTCCACTCTTTCACCTTTTCTCTCTCTCTCTCTCTCTCTCTCTCTCTCTCTCCCTCTCTCTCTCTCTCACTCTCTCTTTCTCTCTTTCTCTCAGCCTTGGCTGGATTCGACTCAGCCGGTGCGCACAATGTGCTTCGTCCTGTCAGACGCGTGGTTTGTGGACAAAATAAATAAATCTAAATAAAAGTCTGGATATCCTTTTTTTTTTTTGAAATTATTATTATTTTATGAGGCACGTGGGATGTAAGGCGCGTGGATGCGACGCACCCCCACTGGAGCTGGATATCGACCTCGTTTTGGATTCCTTTTCGGAGCTCGCTGCTTGCAATCGGGAAGACACGGTGAGTGTGACAGGAACGCGTTGCCCTTCTTTGCCGTCTTCTTTTAATAGCCATTCAGGTGGGCCGCCGGTGCGTTCAATTGTAATTGGAAAATTTGCCGTTGTGTGCGTTTATTCAAATGGTTTGGGGGTGTTGGGTAGGGGTGGGGGTTATTTGGGCTGTTGTGGCCCATCACTACGGTGGCTTTAAAATTCCATGCAGGAGGAAAGTGGGACCATCTGGCATCGTCTGATAATCTAAATGAAGTTGCTTTTAAAGCGCTCAATGAAAAGGTAAAACCTTTGACCTCATCTGTGTCAGGAGGGAAGTGTCATCATGGAATCAAATGTCGACAGTGGGGCATTTATTGAGTCAAAACCGTCTTGACACTGATGCAAAATGCGATGAAACGGTGGACCGAACTGCTTTTGTAAGATGGGCTTTACTTTGCCATTGTCTTTTCAGATAATAGTCCAAAAGGTGCTTTCCTCTCCTGCGTATGGAAATTTAACTCCCTCACAACACAGCGAGTTATTGATGGTAACTCATTTATCCATACAATTAGAAATGTGCTTCGACTTCATATGTTAAAATGAGCAACTGAATCCATTGCTGGTCCGCCGACCCGCAAATTGGGCAACATTTGAAAAGCGGTCAAAGTGCACCTTATTGTGAAGATGACACACACGTATTAATTTTGCCAACATTTGCTTCAAACACTTCAGCGGCTCCCCGGTGACACGGTTCGGGAGCACTAATACAGGTTAATGTGTTGCCCTAGGAGCAAAAACGTGCTTTTGCGTCTTGGTGACATGACGGTCACGGCTTGCGGTGCGAAGGCTCTCCTGAAATTGCTTTATTGTGTTTCTTTTCAAGAGCTCAATACAAGAGTTCAGGGCTTTCCAATATTGCCGAAGCAAACGTGTCCTGGAGATTTTGTCCTTCTCAATTTGAACCACGTATACAAGACAGCCGTGAGACGGCAATGTGCAAAACGTTTTGACTTGTTGTCGTAGCGTGTGGCAGGAGTAGATTTATGATTTACCGTAAAACTCAAAACTCCAAATCCATTGAGATTAAAAATTGACAAAAGTTAGCTTCCTGAGCAACACCAAATCTGCTAGGCACATCTATCAGGAGTAGACCCACAAAAAAAAAGTCTTGAAAAGCCATGCCCTGAAACAAAACGTAATGCAAAAAAATAGTCAATATGGCTGGATCCTACTTTCTCGGAAAAAAAAAAAAATCATCCCCCAATGCCTGATTGACTTGGCAAGTTGACATTTGGCTAGACAAGTCCGACCCACAAAAACATCTCAAGTAGCCATGAACATAAATAGAGGGACTCCATTTTGGATTTGTCCCACCATCTAGAATTGAAATAACAACAAAATAAATCACTCCCCAAAACCAGTTATATAGCAAGTGTGCTGGAGGAGGGAGAAGACATCTAAAACAACCTCTGGAGGACCAGGCTTGGACACCCCGAATCTAGCCACATGAAACATGGTAAGCATGACTGTCATGAGTTGGACCCTCCAAAAAGTCTCAATAATAATACACCGTAAAACCTGCAACCACTCTCCCATTTTTGTTGAAAGCAGCCAATTTGGCTCTGTACTACCTTCTACAATCTAATAAATACATAAATCCAAATCATTCCTCCCGTGCTAGTTTGACAAAAAATTCGGTAGGCTTGTCTATGATGACTAGACCCTCAAAAAAGTCTCAAAAAGTCATCCGCAAAACCACACAGGAAGCCAGCTGTTTTTGCTTGGAAGAAGAATCCATTTTCAGGGAATTTTGGTCATTTCCAGACATCCTTCAAAGTCAAATGTGTGGTACAGATTTTGTGGCATGTCAAGATTTAAAGCCATGCCCAAAAAGATATTTTGGTTTGAAGCAGCATTTGTAAGCACGGTGGACAAGATGCAAGGGGGAACCTGTTTTTCAAAACGGTTTGTCTGTATTCCAAAGCATTGGCAGAAAGTGACCTGGTCGGCCCATTTTGACCTTCATTGACATTCTGAGACAAGGTACTGGATTTGAAGCATCTGAGTTGCATGCTGTCATGGTAGATGACAAACGGTGACAGTCCATCATGGTGCGAGGCCAACACGTTTGACAGAGTAGTAGTTGTGGTCGTTAGCTATTTCCGCACTATCAGGCGCACCTAAGAGCGTTTAATTTTCGCAAAGCTGACGGTGAGCCTTATAATCCGATGTGCCTTATATATGAATCAACATTCTGATTTCTTGGAGATTTAAATGTTCTGTAAAGCGCTTTCTGACAGCTGCAGCAGTTGTGAAAGCTTGATATAACTAAAGCTGGATTGTATTCTATTGTATTCACTTGAGCGTAGCTCCATCTAGTGGATGCATAATGCAACCGCAGCCACTATTGTAGCTTCTATATGCGCCTTATAATGCAGTGCGCCCTATATCTGAAAACAGTTTTGAAATAGGCAATTCATTGAATATGCGCCTTATACTCTGAAATGCCTTATAGTACGGAAAATACATTCGTTTTTGCTTCCCTTTCCAGTGCCATGTCAAAGATTTGTCATTTTGAGGACCTATGGTTCAGTATGAGTACACGAAAAAAAAAAAAATCCGCGAGTATGTTTGGCCCCCTAAAAAGCGTTCCAAGGAGCTTGGCATTCCAGCAAACAAGTGGGTCACCATGGCAACCACGGCAGTAAGCCTCTTTCCTGCAAGGACTTTGCAACATCCCAACAAGCCCGTTGGCCTGTTTAGCTCAAGCCAAGCTGGAAATGTCATAAATGTAGCCTTGAAATTACCCTGAGAATATTTTTTTGGGCATCTGGCATCTCTTTGAAAAAATCCATCCTATTTATATCAGACTGTTGGCAGCAGTGAATGAGATGCTGGACAGGATTTCAAAGGCGGGAGTGTGTCAGAATTTGCTGGTGTGATCGCGCCTTTTGCATTGTTTTTATTTATGGCTGTGACATTGCAGAATTGCTTCGAGATCTTTGATTGAAGATGACATTTATCAATGACAAAGAAGTCTTTACAAATCCAAACTCGAGGAAAAACACAAACCCTGGATCGTTCTTAGAAACCATTCTGAATTCCAAACAAAACCAAGGTTGGTGCAGGGTTGGAACTAAATTTGACCAAATTTGGCCAAGGAGCATCCTGGATTGGATCGTTTAACTTTACCGCATCAAATAGTGGCAACGTTTTGGGTTTTTTTTTGAGCCGATGCCATGACATCCTTTCTGCATTGTTGCATTTGTGTCCTGAGTCTTTTCTCAGCACGGCACATGATTTCCCTCGACTGCGTTCGAAGCCGTCGAGCGATGTTGCAGTTCTTAAGCGAGACAGAAACGAGCGGAACCATTTTTGCGGGGAGTGGGGGGGGACAATAGTGTCGCGTGCGCGGTCGCTGCTTCTGCACAGTCTGACAAATATGAGAGCTTACTGAAGGACCTCTTGACTTGCTCAACATTTAGTATGCAGTCGAACGAGACTGCCGGTTGACCATGAAATCAGCTTGCGCCGCTAATTAAATATCCATTGTTACACTCGCGACTCGCTCGGACTGGAGTCAGTCATTGTTCAAATTGAAGCTGCGTGGCTGCTGGTGTCATTGAGCACTTTTGTAAAGTGTATATTTCGAAAGTCACGGGCTGCTGTTTTAATCATCTGCGAGATACCCCGTGACACTTGGCAAAGTTGTCTCTCCAGTGGAGTCGGAACATTTGGACATGCGCAAACATCATCAAAGTGGCTACTCTTGCTGTTATTGACGGGAGGCTATGGAGCACCCCCCCCAAAAAAAAAAAAAAAAATGTCAGCGTAGCATTTAACCGTTGTAGATCCGGTTAGAAGGGATCCAAAAGAGAGGCAAAGTTGTCTCTCCAGTGGAGACATTTGGACATGCGCAAACATCATCAAAGTGGCCACTCTTGCCGTTATTGACGGGAGGCTATGGAGTCCCCCCCCAAAAAAAAAAAAAAAATGTCAGCGTAGCATTTAACCGTTGTAGATCCGGTTAGAAGGTATCCAAAAGCGATCAAACTGACAACGCCGCCTTCCATCAACCTCTTTATGAGCCCATAAAAGTCGGCTCTATTTGCCCACATGCGTTTTCCGCAAGTTTTCGGACGATATTGCTGACCTTTTCTCTTTTGTATGGCCAACCTCCGACCAAGGAGGTGAATTGAAACAAAGATGCAATGCTTCTCCGCGACTGGAGCTCTAAGGGAAGTTAATTTATGGCCTGTTTGGGAGGCAGGTTTGGGCTTGAATGCAAAATAAGGTGCTGCACCTGCAGCCGCATACAAATGAATGGAAACAGTGGTTTGGATGTACGCCCCTCGCCACCCCACAAACCATCGGGACCACCTGATCTGACCACTAATTGCCCGGCAACGAGAGATGAAGACGGGCTGCTGTATGAGCAAATATCGGGCGCGGGGTTGCTCACAAGGCAACCGTCAAATCTGGGGACGTAACAAACGCTGCGTTCTTGGTTTTTTTTTTCTCGATCGCGTTGGTGAGATTGCAAAAGGCAAAACCTTTTCTCCGTGTCTGTTCAACAGCCACATTCTGTCAAAACACACTCAAAATGTCGCGCCGCCCGCTTTCCAAAACATGTTTTCAGACATTGCCACAAGATGTTGACAAATGATGAATTTCTTCCTGACCTTAAAAGCATTCCGAATGATCACGCATCCCGCTGAATGTCCCTTAAATGGAGAGAGTGCTCTCCCATTCATACTTGAGAAGATTTACTGAATGCAGGAGCGCCTCAGCGGGCGGGTAATTAAAAGGTTTTCATGCAGGTGGATGGCGCCACAATGGAGCTTGTATTATGTGCGGCCCTTTCTTCTGGCTTTAATTAAACCGAGGTGCATTTGAAATGCATTAAAGGAGGACACCTTCGTCGAGTTTATCAGAATCTGATTCCACTTGTAGCTTCCGAATGAATTGCGGCACTTTTGACTTGGAGCAAATTGATTCTACTAATCAATAGCCTCAAATTGGATTTCG